ACGACTTGGATGGAATTAGTGACGGGTAGGACAAAAAATAGCTTGGGTTTTAACTGCATTCATAAAAGACGCCAGGGATGAGTCCAGTGGATGAATTTATCGACAGCAGCCTGGAGAAATCTGTTAAGAGTAATTATCGTTTTACATGTAGCGAGGAGGACAGTGTTATCAGCATATTGATAGAGTGAAACAGGAGGAGTTGGAAGTGGCATATCATACACGTATAGCACACGTATAAAGAAGTGAAGAGAGAGAACTGAATCCTGTGGAACCCTCGCTGCTATGGGAAACGACCTGGAGTGTACCCCCTTAAGAAAGACCATAGCCGAGTGATTCCGAAGAAAGGAGTGAATAAGACGAATATACGACTGAGGAAGGTGTAGACAACGTAACATGTAAATCAAACCCCGATGCCAAACTGAATCAAAAGCACTGACAAAGTCAAAAAGGAGAAGACATGAAGGTTTAGATGTGTTAAAATGATTGGTAATGGTATCAGACAATCGGAGAAGCTGATCCACAGTTGAAAGGTTTGGGTTTGGTGAATAATATTGTACAGAGTCAAATGGGTATATAGTCTGCAAACCAGAATCCACTTAAAAGGCATGCTAAAAATACTTTTAAGACTAATCGGGTTCGTAAGAAGCCAAGGATGTTGGAGACTTGTATGGTTTTAAAACGAGGAGAACAGTAGATGTCTTCCATGAAGCAGGGTAAGAGCCAGTACGAAAATAAAATTATAGAAGGAAACCATAAGAAGCAAAAACTGAGATGGAGCATTTCGAAGATGAGAGTAAGTCAACCCATCGGGACCAGAAGCAGTATTGGTCATCCACGAAGAGAAAAATTAACATCAAAAAGTGTGATGGGTTCATTAAGAGGACGGGTGTAGAGATCATGGTCATTGGAGATCGGGAAGAGAAGGATCAGCCAGACAATAGATATAAGAAGTATCTTCATAATCTAAAGGATGTTGACCTGGAGCTTGAAAGTGATCTCCTAAGTAGGAGACAAAAACATCAGTCTTAGCAACTGATGTCAGAGGAGCAACCCTATCAAACAGAACAGTGTAGGAAGGAGCAGTACATTGTCCAGTAAGGTGGCGAAATTGTTGCCAGTATTGTGAAGAAGGAAACTGGCAGAGAGAAGATCAAATCATATACCAACGGCGATGCTTGACTGCTCGAACAAGATTATGGGCCCTGTCACTGTAGACCACGGGAGTGAGTGAATGCCAGTGGATCATGAGAACGAGTGTAATCATGGAGAAGTAATGAAGAAACATGGAGTAGATCGAGAGCCCAATGAGGTATTGCAGGTTTATAAGAAGAGAAAGAAGAACGATGAATATGAAGATGACCAGCAGTGAGAAGAGATTCTAATGTGTAGTAGTAGAGGTAAAGAACACATTGGTAATATGAGAGCAGTAAGTTCCCAGTTAGCACGACAAAAATTCCACACCTGATGTTGAGGAAGAGGAGGAATAGAGGCATGAGTGGTTTGTAGCTGCACCCTGATAGGCAGATTATCACTATCAATAGAAAAAAGGACACTGATGAAAAAAGGGTAAAGATTGACGGAAGCAAAAACAACATCAGGAGATGTATTTGAAATAGGGCGACTCAAAGGAGAGAGAGGGAAGAAGGAGCCAGAAAGGTCACACAGTACAGAGTGAAAGTGAGATAACTCTGAAGCAGAATGGCTATGGAGGTCAGCATAAACGATATAACTGTGAAAAAGTCGATCCAAAGTATAAAAAAGCCACAAGGCAGAGGATGACCAGGACGAATGTATATTGTGGCCAATGTAAGAATTCTAGCAGCGACGAGAAGATGTTCGGAAAAATCATTAGGGGTAAGATATGATCACAGCAAAGAAAATGGTTACAAAACAGCTTTGGAGCTTGTGAAGGCTTAAAAAATGTTTCATTGAGAATAATGCAATCATAAGCAACATCATAATGAAACAACTCTAACAGAGAAACATTCCCAATGAAAGAGCAAATGTTAACAAGCAGGAAGTTTAACACACGGTCTCGATGTCTAATAAGTCTGGTTCCCATAGTCGGCGAAAATGACAATGCTAATTCAATCCCGAGACGGTGGCTTGCATGGTGAATACAATCGAGGACAAATGGGCACTGATAGGGAAGTATATTCTGTAGAGCAATCGTGAGAAAATTAAGAACGTCCTCAACAGTTGGAGGAGGGAGAACTGACTTAGAAGGAAGGGTAATGGGGTTGGAGCTATTAACTGGAGCCACTGATGTAGGATCATCCTTCTTTGGAGAAGGTTTACCATAAGAATAGGTAGGGTGGTTCTGGTGACAGGTATTACAAACGGGAGGTTATTGTAACTGCAGACATTGAATGTTTTGATAATAAGACCATTGTGGGTAGGAATGAGTTGATGGATATTAGATCTAAGGTAATATTTAGTTAGTTCTTGGAATAATGTGTGGATGTTGAAAAATCGAGATTCCATTTGGCACAGAAGAAACACCAAAACAGGGGGAGAAGAAATGTCATACAGGCAGATTTCCGAGGACGAACAGGTGAAGAAGGCAAACTAGTTGAAGCAGAAGGTAGTTCAGTGGTTGAAGAAGTAACAACATCAGCAAAGGTCAGTGAACCAGGAGGCACAGAAAACACTCAAAGTGGAGGAACAAAGTCCCGATCAGAGTGGCAAGGAAGAGATGACTGTGAGAGACGATAGTGGGTATTCAATTTGTCATAAGGCTTGGCACAGCGACGATTAGATTACAGGACAGCTCCCGGTCGATCTATGATAGGGGAAAGGCCAGAGTGCAAAAAGAATATCGTATACCATCAATAATTTAATTAAAATGAACAGTCAAAAAGCACTAAGTAAAAGAAACTCACCAAAGCCCACTAGACACAATCCAAAAGGTCCAAATCGTCTAAGGATCGATCGAAAGTCGAAATTTTGAAGAAAGGTAGACCACCACATAAAATATTATTTTGATATCTAAGGAACTGGTGTTTTGAAACTCAAATATCAATAACACGTACATAGATCTGTCAGTTGGATGAATACTTGATCTCAATGATACCTTGAATATTAATTTAGATTATTCTTTATATATTCGTTTATTTTTACTGAAATTGTTTTGGCATATATCATATTTCTGAATGAAAAGTCACAATCAGTGGTTATATAAAAAGACCATTGTGCTCCCATCTAGCGATTTAGAAATGAAACTGTTATTTATGAAACTCACTACTAAGTAGAAGTTTTCGTTTTTATTATTTCCCCACAAAAATACGTGTGGTAGAAGAATATTACTGTTATACAAGCTGTGAAACACACGATAATGGCAATTAGGTGCTCAAATAAGACTAACTCAACTTTAGCAGCTATGTGTAAGCATCATAGAATAATAGATTTATTGTGGCGGTGATGATTTTCTCGGCCCATTCCTACAGTGCTTAGGGACAGCTTGTTCCCAAGTAGTCTTAACATGCTTTTCTGTCGTTCTAAATCCATTACGAAACTTCACACATTTTATGGCTGGCGTGGGAAAAGAAAAAAGAATGATGAAGACTTTGACTCTTTAACTAGTTCCCAGTTCTCCACTTTAACAATACATTTTAATGTTATTGGGAGACTCGCAAGCTGTGAAACACTCGATCATGGCAATTTAGGTGCTTAGATAAGGCTAAACTCAACTTTATCAGTTATTTGTAAGCATCATAGAGTAATAGATTGAATGCGGCAATCATTTCTTTCTCAGCCCATCCCTACATACTAAGCAATACTATGCGTAGTTATAGTGCCACTAAAAGAAAGCTGCTAACACTTATCAAAGTACATGTGAATTTCAGAACCCCTACTAAACCGAGTGTACTTGAGCATATCCTTGGTAAATGTGACGTAGTCGTCTATTCTAATCAGTTTGATGGAAACAGCTTACTAATCCAGAGATCCGTCAAATAGCAACGGCTAGGAAAATCAAATGAAAATGGGTTTTAAACTAACAAGTAATTAATCTCCTCTTACGTTAATGGAAATTAGTTTTGAACTTACAAGCAATTATTCTTTCTTAATCTCCTCTTACGTTAATGAAAATTAGTTTTAAAATAATAAGCAATTATACTTTCTTAATCTCCTCTTACGTTAATGAAAATGGGTTTTAAACTAACAAGTAATTATTCTTTCTTAATCTCCTCTTACGTTAATGAAAATGGGTTTTAAACTAACAAGCAATTATACTTTCTTAATCTCCTCTTACGTTAATGAAAATGGGTTTTAAACTAACAAGCAATTATTCTTTCTTAATCTCCTCTTACGTTAATGAAAATGAGTTTTAAACTAACAAGCAATTATTCTTTCTTAATCTCCTCTTACGTTAATGAAAATGAGTTTTAAACTAACAAGCAATTATTCTTTCTTAGTCTCCTCTTACGTTAATGGAAATTGGTTTTAAACTAACAAGCAATTATTCTTTCTTAATCTCCTCTTACGTTAATGAAAATTAGTTTTAAAATAATAAGCAATTATACTTTCTTAATCTCCTCTTACGTTAATGAAAATGGGTTTTAAACTAACAAGATATTTTTTTATATTATATTATTATATCAGTTTCTGTTTTAAGGTAAAGGCTGAACTATTTTCTTTCTTCCGTTTCTATCAAACTAAGCAAATTTCTTACTATTTCTTTACCATAGTTCTTCTTTGCATCATCACCCTTAGGATACTAATAAGCCTCTTTTTTTCTCTCTTTTTTTATTTTATCTCCATCCGAGTGGTCTTCTGTTTCTTTGTTATATCTGGCAATTGTTTGTAAAAGTCATATATTAGGAGATAAATACCCTTGGTTAAGATGTTATTTTAGTCTAAAAATCAAACTTTCTGTTACTCTTATATTTTTAGGAGTGAATTAAATACATAATTCAAATTAACGTTTCACATTAATGACTCATCTTTCTTCTTAATATTTAATTAATTCTTTCTTGAGATTGTGATTATTTGTTTCGCAGAAGATGTCCCTCCTCCTGAGTCATCTCCCAAAGTAAAAGGATGTGGTGGAATTGAGACTGGATTTGGAGGAGTAATCATATCTCCTGGCTATCCGGACTCATTTCCAGAGGATGTGAAGTGTATCTGGCTGATCAGAGTGGCTCACGGGATGCACATCTACATTCGAGTACTGGAACTGCAGCTCTACGGAAGTATTGGTAAGTTGACTTCTAAAACATGGAATCACGATCTATTTGTTCATAAGTTAAAAAAAAAACGTATATCTTCAGTCTGTCATATAATAGACATAACTATATTGGTTTTTTTCTCAGGAGCGGAGTATACAATTGTCTAATCTCCTAATTCGTGACTATTTTACGAAAAAGGGACCACAAATACTTACATTTTTCTGAGGAAAGAACACTAGATATATCACGGATATTTCTATGGAACAAATATCACTGCTTCTACTTCATACATTTTTCTTAGGAAATGTGAAATTGTTATCTTCTATTTCTTTTTCTATGATATTCAGGAAATTCGCCTAATCTTCTACTTTGTTTCTAATAGTCCAATACAAATTGGTGATGGTTAAAAATTCAATACACCTTGTAGTTTTCTGGATATTTAATAAATTGCCGTTTGTACTGACCTATCTTAAAAAAAATAAAGTCATTTTAATATCCTTTAAATTATAAAGGTTTTCATTCAGAATATGTAGTATGAATATCATCAATAATCTGTTTGTTATATATGGTTTTCTAGGAAATAATATTTAGGTACTTTCATTTTTGAATTTGTAACTAGATTAACGACAGTTTTTTACGTGTTTAACAATAAATACTTTTCACACATGATGATCATGTGACTCAGTATTGAAATAGTAGTTAAGAGTATAATTTACTATAAATGAAAGAATAAGTGCCAGACATCTGTTACTATGAACGTAATAATAGTTTAGTATTTAATTTAAGTCTAGTGATCACCCTGTAGGATTCGAATAAACCTTAGAATAATCATTTACAATAACTGCTTTTTGTAAACAGTAAATATTAAACTGTAAAGTTCATAATTGGAGTGATTAAATCTCTATTAAATGAATTATCTAAAATATTTTTGTAATCTTATCAGTGAAGTTTAGTTGTTGTTCCTTAATAAGCACAAAGCTAAACAAAAAGCTATCTGTATTCTTCTCACCACGGGTATCGAAACGCGGTTTCTGGTGATATAAGTCCGCAGGCATTTCGCTGTGCCATTTGGAGGCTGGAGATTAGTACTAGGTGACAATTCCAAGGGTTCTTAAAACCAAAATTGACTCATCATGTGGAGACCGGCTGTTTCACGTGAGGTAGAAGAGTATAACGTGTATACTCCTTCCTCTTTAGTGGTATTTTATTATTAGCTGTAAGACTGGGTTGAGTTCTAGATGACATTTCCAAGGGTTGCGTAGATAGGCGCTGACCCCTCATGTGGAGATTAGCCAGCTGTTTCAAGGGAGGTAGAATAGAGCTCCTTCTCTGATGTTACCAGTGAACTTCTAACTGTATGATGTATTGCTGATTTCCATCTTTTATTTTACTAGATACATCATATGGTACTTTGTTTTCCAGCAGTCTCATTTTCTTTGAATGTTGACAAAGACATTCTATAGTTGCTGCTTTCCGTTAGTAGCATAGAGGAGTTCGATATTCTACCAGTGGGATTACTCTAAATTTGATTAAAGGAATTCTCTTGCGAGTTTGTCAGCGTCCTCATTTAGCTTCATGGCCTGGCACATTCATCCAGATGATGGTCTTACCACACAGTTGCTTTGTTTTCTGCCATCCATCAAGAAACTTACCCCTCTCAGTCACTGACAGTATATTGGTACACTTTCTATTTGTGGTTAAGTACATACATAGAATAGATTGTTTTATGACTTCCAGCTTCATCCCTGTGCTATTTGTGTGAAACTTAAATACTCTATCAGCTTTATGTAGCATTATGTTGTTCTTAAAGGTAATGAAAGCCCAACCAGCTCTTTTGCTATCTTTGGTGTCAGAACCATCTTAGGTTTCAATGAAAGTTACTGTCCACCAGTCTTTAAATCGGTGATGGTAGGACTTTTCTGCTTCACTCTCTGATCAATATCTATATTTTCGGTCTTGACTGACCTTCACGGATCTCACTGGTGCCGAATATTTGTTCCACAGGAGTACATCTAAGATACGATGGTGGCAAATTATCTTATTGGCGGCTTTATCGTACATGTCCACCCATAACTCTCTGTTGAAGTGCCTTTAAACAATCACCTACTTGATTTGCGTCTGTGGGATTGTTGTGGAGCTCGAATATCCCAATTTAAAGAGCAGTGGTTCAATGATGAAATTAATGGTCTTTACACTGTGAAGAATATTGCTTTGTAAACATTGTTGGTGTCATGGGATGCAGCTAGGTTAGTGAGGTGTAAAGGGTTTTTATGGAAGGAGTAAAATACATCCTCTGACCAGTGTAAAACAAGTTTTTTTGTAACTTTACAATCTTATCTGGCTGTGTAGCACTCATAATGGTCATTGGTATATCACTTTGGTAGAACATAAACAAATGTTCTTCATTTCTATTTCCTGCGGCAACTTTCAGAGCATTGGTGCCTTTGGTAACTATAGTTATCATGGTGTTAATGTGCTTTGGTTACAATGAGTTCTCCATGTATTTCAGTGTTTCTTCCAAAGAGATAGCATTACTCACAAAGAATTGTAATGGTTTGTCCTCGTCAGTTATGTCTGTTGTTGAATGTGTAGAACATAATTGTGACTTTGAAAAGACTAATACTATTCCCGTGCTATTGCATTATTTGCTCTTACTGCTAAGCAATGGTTGCATCTTGCTTTCGTTTTAATTTTTCTAGAGTCTAAACGATATAACAAAATATTGTCAGTAAAGGTTAGCACACAATATTTTTTTGGACTGTAAAGGCAGTCTAGATTAATGGTGTATATGTTGAGAAAGACTTTCTGTAGCTAATGCAACAATGGCCCACATTACGCATGTTATACTGATACCTGTTTTGAGCATTTTGTCGACAATAATGGCAAATTGGTCTCTGGCAAATTTAGCAAAGTTCATTTAAGTTTCTCTTCCACTGCAATAACCACCTAATGATGATTTCAAGATGTTAAGAAAACATGTAGGACCAAGAAATCAACTTACCAAATAGATACGAAAGAAGAACAAGAGGAATTCAGTTTGAAACTTTAGTATTGCACAGCTTAAAACTAAAGTTTCAAATAGAATTCATCTTGTTATTACCTATCACTTTAAACTCAGAAACGTTTCGCACATTCTGAAAAATACACTTCCATCTACTACAACTGAATGAATGCTTAAACAAATATTTCCCGAAGTTCTCATTGTCTCCCTCCAGAAGAGCAGAAACCTTAAAGATATCCTTGTTCATGCAGATGGTTATCATCCATGTAATAAAGTTTAACCTACAACTTCATAAAAACTACCGATTCTTTTTCAGTCAAATATGACCAAAAGCACTTTACAATTTCTAAAGAAATTGCTTCTATTAGGTCGTAAAGAAATTAATGTCTCTATTTTTAGATGAAAAAACCCAAACAACGTATATATCAAAACAAAACATTTATTAAATGAAATAGTCGATATTCTTATCGATGATTCTTTTCCATCTTACAATA